GGGAGCCGAGCAGCCCGCCCCTGTGCCAGCTGCCACGGCCAGCACCAGCCCTCCATATGGCACGGTGTCCCGGGCAGGGGGACGCGGCACAGGAGCAGGACCGAAGGCTCAGGGAGCAGCTCTGCATCAGAAGCTTGGAAGCCCCATTCTCGTGCTGAAGGGCGCCAGACAGAAACAACATTCCTGCACACACTTCCCGTAGCTGCTGCCCCGACGCCGGGCTGTGCGTGGGCTGGGATCACATCCTCCAGCTGGGCCCAGGACCCTTCCTGGCAAACCGCGCCACATGCCACAGCCCCGCGGGGCTCCCGGCACGGTGGGTCCCCAGCCCCGCAGCCTTCCCCGCCAGCCCGCTGCTCTGTGGATGCACCTGCTCGTCACCTGCCTGTCCCTGCCAGACCCTGCCTGTCCCTGCCTGTCCTTTGCCTCACCCGGGGAACTCCCCAGCCCCTCGACACCAGCTTCTTGCAAATCCTTTGCCTCTGTTTGCCCAGGCGGGGGGCAGCATGCAGCCCCCCAGCCCCGGTGCTGCTGCTCTCCGCAGCCTCTCGTCTGGGGGTGACGCAGCCGGCGTCAGCCGGGCGGATCGTCTCCGCCCTGCAGGCACCGAAACCTGCACTGCAGTTTCACCGCCTGGCAGCACGGATCCCAGCTGCAAACTGCACATGACGGGTGGAGGGATCCGTCACGCCTGCTCCGGGCACCCAGGTGGGTGGCACAGTCACCTCCCTGCATCAGGCTGGGACATCCCCCCTCCATCTGCCTGCCACGCCTCCCCCGTCCCCTTCGCACCCTGGGAACCCCCATCCGTTTGGGATGCTGGAGCAGGACTCTCCCAGCCAGCGCTCTGCTCCTCCAGCGCCACGGCTGGGCGCAGGCCCACGGGGACGGCTGGGAGGGGGCCCAGCGCCTCGCAGACCCCTGCACAGAGCCGTCGCCACACAGCACAACCCCGGTGCTCACCTGCACCCCGCTCATCTCCACGGGATGGAGAGGGAACCATGCTCCCGCCTGCTGGAAAGCCCTCGAGGCAGGAAATCCAGGAAGGGTTTGATGGAAAGAGTCAGCCTCTGAAAACGCCTTGGTGCCCGGTTTGGAGGGAAAACAGCCCCGACCGTCCCATCTGCCAGAGCGTGGTGCAAAGATCCTGACAGCCCCAGGCAGCCCCAGGGCCATTGAAAAGGGGCGCGAGAGCTCCAGACACCATGGGGCTCTTGTGTTTCATGACTTGATTTGCCGTATACTCATTCCCGTCCCTTGGACCTCATCTCCCGTCCCAGCTTTTGCCTCTGGCTTTGACCAGCTTTTGTTTTACCAAATGTTCCCCACCACCCAGGCACGGTGCCGCGGTGCCCTCGAGCACATGCAAGGGACACAGGGCCCGGGGCTGCCTCGGCTCCCATGGGCTGCACGGGGCAGCACCGAGGCTTTGTCACCTGCTGTGGCTTTGGGGAGGAGTGTCCACAGGCAGCCCCGCTGCCATCACCCCCTCAGCCACCTGGGGCCATCCCCTCCAGGGTGACCTGCTGGATCAGGCCCACGGGGGCCACCTCCTGCGCCCCAAGGGGGTAAGCGGGGGCCGGGAGGGGAGCGGGGCAGGATGGGGCTGGACGGCCACAGGCTCCTTGAGGCACGGCATGGCAAGGGTGGGCAGCACTTTGTTCCCCGGTGGTGAGATGGGCACGGCAGCTGCCTGCTAAAACGGGAACAGCAGCAATTGTGACAATGACGGCAAACCTGCCTGCCCGTCCGGTACGTGGAGGGGACAGCACGGCACCAGGAACCCGCCGGCTCTCAGTGACGAGACGGCTTGGGAATAAGAAGCGGGGGTTTGTAGAAGGTGAAATATGGGCAAAACTGGTTGTATTTAATTGTAAACTACAAGAAGCAGAAGGAAGAGTGGTAGATGCAACATGCCCGGATTTCAGTAAAACATTTGACAACTGTTCTAACGCTCGCTGCCAAATTAATTCAGAGCAGCTCAGTTGTCAACACAGGCATATGGACAAAACCCAGGCAGCCCCAGGAATGGCAAACGGCCTGGCCGCCAGCTGGGGAGCTGCCGGGGCCGCACGACCCCTCGGGGCCTCTTAAAACCTCTTCTGCAGGCATGGGTGCCACGGGAGGGGGGAAGGCAGCCACCAGGCTGCGGGAGCAGTGGGGATGGAGAGCTGCCATGCTGCCAGGGCGGAGGAGGGCTGGAGAGCACCCGGGCAAGAGCTGCCAGCCCTGGGGGAGCTGCCGTGCCCTGAGCCCTGCGGGTGCCTCTGAGCACCATGTGGCCAAGAGCAGCCCTGGAGCCCACCCGCTCAGCCCTGGCGACCCCCTTCTGCGGCGCAAGGGGGACCAGCCAGACCAACACCACAGCTGGTCGCTGCCTGGTGGGGCTCAGGACCGCTGCTGTGCGAGAGCCACTGAGGGGTCTGGCCACGGGCAGCGCCAGGTCACCAAGCTCCCCCTGCTCCACGGGCACTCAGCAGGGCGAAGCCCCGCGCAGGCGATGGGAACAGCCCGGCACAGCGCGCGTTCGAGGCCTCCAGGGCCCCGCTACACACACACAGTTCTCCTGCCCACCTTGTTTATTTTACTTATATTTCAGTAATTTGCTGATTACCCTTTTTTAACTAACCAGCAGTGATGAATCAGCAGCGCAGGAGAGGGTGGAAGCCGGCGGCCTTGGACCGTGGCTCCGAGGTCTCAGGTTCTGGGAAGGAAGCCACAGGGTCCCTCCAGAAGGGAAAAAAAACAACCGGCAGCAGCACTTCTGGCAGGCGAGGAGGGGCTGCAGCCGTGGCCGTTTGCGTTTCAGCAGCTCCAAACACATCCTGGAAAGGCCGTCGATGGTCCTGAAGCCCTGGGGGAATGGCAGCCATGGCTCGGACCCAGGCGCAAGACGCGACACGCAGGACAGGCAGCATAGGGCACAGCTCGGCGCCACGGCGGCTCCAGCCCGTGAGCAGGACGGTGGGCAGCGAGGGCCCAGGAGGCAGCGGGACGCGAGGAGGGCACAGTGCCCCCTCCATAGGCAGGAGCGCCCAGCGGAGCGGTAGCGGGGGCACTGGCAGGGGGCTGGGCTGGGTGCTCTGTCTGGAGCCGGCCCCACCATGCAACGCTGCCTGGCCTGGAGCGCAGCCCCTGGGCGCCCATGGCGCAGCCGCCGGTAGCACCTCCCAGCCCAGCCAGGCTAGGCAGAGCCAGGGCCAGCAGGCCACCTCCTGCCAAGCGGACCCTGCGAGGATCCAAGTGGCCTCGCTGCAGGCTTTGCCAGCTCCTCTGAGCCCCTGGGGAGTAGCTGGGAGCGGCTCCTGCCTGTCTCGGGAGCGCCCTGCCCGAGCCCAAGGGTGGCATTACGGCTCAGGCCGCAGCCTTGGTGGTCACAGAAAACAGGGCATTATCCTGTGGCACTCCCTCCCCTGGGAAGCGGCAATCCCGGCAGGAGCAGCCAGCACCAGGGGGAGGCTGCACTCGCAGAAGCGCCAGTGGCCCAGCAAGCCCCCGGCACTCGGCAGAGGGGCTGGAGCGGTGCCCGGCGGGAAGCTGTCCCGGCGTGCTGCCACCCCAGCACCCAGCAGTGCCCCAGGAGAGCCCCAGGCGCCTTCTTCAGGAGCCACCGCTGCTGGGAAGGAGCTGAGCGGTGAAGCAATCGGCATGAAGAAAAACCCATTTCCTGCAGCAAGGGCTGTTTTGCTCAACATTTTACAAAATGTGCTGATGCAACTGCCCTTCCCAGGTGGGATATAAATACGAGCCTGGTTGATGTGGATTATTGCCCTGCAGCTACACAAACATCACCAGCAACGTTTCCCTTAAAAAGAAAAACGGCAACAAGGAGGAATAAACAGCACGGATGACAAAATCACTGACTGTGGAAGTCTGGGGGCTCGGGGTGCAGGGGGGCTGGAGGGGTGCAGCCCTGGGCACCGCACTCAGCACAAGCCACTACCTATTCTGGGACACTGACCAAGGCCATTAGCTCATGGAGAAGCTATTGTGGGAGCAGGGCAAGCCCACGGGTGGGTCAGCGCGGCCAACAAACCAGCAATGGGGACAGGGCACAGTGTAGCATGGCTGAGGAGCGCCGGCGAGAGCAGGACCCCAACCAGGGTCCCCCGGTCAGCACGGCCGAGGGGCGCTGGCGAGAGCAGGACCCCAACCAGGGTCCCCCGGTCAGCACGCCCTCGCTCTGCCCCGAGGCGCAGCTTGTCTGGCTGTAGCTCATTCCAAGTGCCGTATCCAGGCTGGAGAGCTGGGAAACCTCCCACCTCCTGGGACAGCCTGTCAGTGCAGCTGATCAGCTGGCCTGTTAAAGATCAGCTTCATACCCCACTCCAGCCTTATCGCTTTATTCTCCAGGCACAAGCGTTTGTGTTGTCTTCTCAGCCCATTCCCAAAAGGCCTTTAACCTGGCGCTCCCCCCACTAAGATATTTGGACACCCATCCAATGCATGCCGCATCCATTTTTGGATTCTCTTAAGCCTCTTGCCGAGATTTCTTTGTTTTCTTTGGCCCTGGAATGATTTCAAGCACAGGAGGCGCAACAGCAGAGCATTATCAGAGAGGAGCTGCGCTTTGCCTGGCTTGGAAATTCTCCACGCACCCCTGCTTGGGGGCACACAGCATTTTTAAAAATAGCAGGTTACCCATCTCAGCAAAGCTCTGGCTGGTGCAACCCTTTGAGAGGGAGGGCATAGGGTATCTCTGCAGGGTAAACTTTCCATCAGTCGAGCCAGCATCAGGAGGGGCCACACTAGCCCCTGTGGCTCCCAGAGGTCAGGCTGCTTTGCCCTGGAACCATTGTCCGTCAGGAAAATCCTTTGCTTGTCGCAGGCAGCAGCTGACTGAAGGCAAAAAGAGGAAACCGCCAGCCCGACAGAAATCCATCCCGTTTCCTCTACCTGGGAGGCAGCTTTTTCTAGGGGTTCCTCCGGCCCACCCCCTGACAGAAATGTAGAGCTTCCCCCAACAGGGAGCACACGACGCCCCAAGCCCACAGACGGAGCCAGCCCCTGGCCGGTGACAGGCTGCCGGGCTCCTCCAGCATGAGCTATGGCAAGAGGACATGGACGAGGCGACATTGCCCACAGGAGCCCCCCGTGTCCTCCCTGGCTCCACTTCCCCCCCAGCAGCTGCAGAGCCAAAGAGGAACAATGGGGAAAAAAAAGACCCCAACCCTTTGGTCTCTCTCGGCTTCTTCCACAAGGGTGATCGCAGCAGGCAGCTGCGTGCAGGAGGAACACTCGCGCAGCCAGCCCGGGGGTGGGCTTCACTGATGCTGTCACCCCATGACAGATGAGGGCCTATTAAGGATCTATTTAATTAGCTTGAAAAAGAGGTGGAAGATGCATGCGCACCAGGCTGGCAGTTCAGCCACAGCTCCTCTGCTGCCTCTACTGGGCACACGGCACCTCCAGGAAGTCTCACCCGGGGCAGGAGGTGCTGGATGGACACGAGGGACCCACAGAGCCCCACAGCTGAGCCCTGGGCTGAGGGGGGATGAATCCAGCCACCGCCCCGGACCAGAAGCGCTGCCACCACACAACACAGAGCGCTGCTCCAGCCCACCTTGCTCATCCAACAGCCATCCACTCGGGTTTCTGGCAGGCTAACTCCGCACTCATAGACTGTGCCAGATGAGACACTGTCTGTCCTTCTGCAGCTGGCACCACGTCAGCACCAGCTCCGTACCGGCTGTCCTGGTCAGCGAGACGAGGCAACTGCCTGCCCGGACCTGCTCTGGACAGAGCCGCACTGCGGGCTGGCTCAGTCCTAGCGGCCCCCGGATGCAGAGCCCTGGCCCCCTCATTCAGCAAGCACGTCCCTTCCACAGGGGCTGAGCAGCCAGGTTCAGCCCAAACATGTCCCTGCCCCAAAAAAGCGCAGGCACAACACGAAAAACAACAGGATGAGACTTTCTCAGTAGAGCACTGCAACATGAGAAAACACCAGTGAGAGCAAGGAGCCACCCAAGCCAGGCGTTCACTAAAGACGTCAGTGCGGAGCAGGGGCCAGCTGGGCCAGGGGCCTCGGCCAGAAGAGGCCGAGCCCAGGCTCTCCCTCCACAGCTGACCTCGGCTGGAGGAGACAGCAACGCCACCACACTCAACGACGCTGCTGGAGAGCTGGGGCAGCAGCAGGCTCCCGATCACATCCCCATGGGGACACGGCGGCAGCAGGAGGTGCTGGCAAAGCTCCACTGCCCACAGTGTGCTGGGCGCCCCCCGCCAGCCCAGAGCAGCCCCCAGGCTCGTGTGCCTCCAGCGCTGGAGGTGCTGCCTCCAGCCAGCGCAGCCGCCCCGGGCCTGCCCAACCGGGCCCCGCCGCCCCCTGCAGAAGGGCGCACAGCAGCCCAGACGGCGGTTTGGCTAGCGATAGAGCAGAGGAAGATGGCTGCTGTTCAGCTGCAGAACTGCCGTCAAAAGAGGCAAGTTTGGCTTCTGTAAGACAGGGCAAACCTAGAGCACCCCCCGGCACCATTCCCGCACCGGAGAACGAGGGGGAAAAAGCACAGTGCGGCCCCCGGGCCCCCGCGGGGAAGGGGAGGGCAGAGGCCCCCGCAGCTCGGCCAGGGCCGCTCCGGGGAAGGGTGGCCCTAGCTGGGTCC